AGAGAAAATGAGAGGAGTAGCTTATCCCAGAAACAATACAAGAAAAATTCCTAGAGCTGAAGAGCACAGGTCTTCAGACTGAAGAGGTCCCTCTTTCCCCAGCACCCATCACAGTAAATAAAAAAAGATACTTATCAAGGCATACCCTCACGAAATCTCATACCAGGGATAAAGAGACGGTCAGAAAACCTTCCAGATAGTAACAAACAAATCACTGACCAAAGAGCAAGAATTTGCATGGTACTATCCTTACCGAAAGCAACACCGGGTGCTAGAATTCAACAGGAGAAAGCCTTTAAAATTCTAAGAAAGGTGATTTGCAACTTAAAATTTCTTATCTAGATAAAATATCAGTTGAATGTAAGGGTAGGGAAAAAAGAATCATTTTCAGACATACAAGGACTCCAAAAATATCTCCTTCATATTAGCCTTTCTGAGAAATTACTTGAAAATGTGCTGCAGTGAAACAAGAGAGAAAATCAGGAAAGAAGATGACACAAGATCCAGGAAGAGATTCCCACTGGGAAGAGGGGAGCTACTCTTCTAGGAAGCTTGAACCTTATTCTGCAGATATTAGAGGCAGCCATGGGTTTCAAGCTGGAGAGCAATGTGATAAGATCCATGTTTTAGAAAGGACATTCTTTCCTAAGTCTGAAGGTGGAGTTAGTGGAAGCTTTCTGGGAGACAGTCAGGATGTTTTTGCTAAACTCAGGTGCAATGTAATTCAAACCTGAACTAAGGTGCTAGCAATGAGAACCGTGAGACTGTAGATGTACACACAGCTGAGCTGACATCTGCTGGGGGTGGGAGGATGTCTAGCATAATTTCATTTTGCCGTAAATATTCATGTTATGAATGCAGGGCAAGAACAAGAGAGACTCTACGAGGACAGTGAAGCATCAAGCCCTGGAAGATGGTAGATGGAAGACAGGAAATAAAGATATGCCAGTAAGCTCAGAGGGAAGAACCATTCCATTTGAGATACTCTGAGTGGAGAGCCAGTGCTACATCCATTGGGAAGTGTAAAGGCGATTGGACCTTTCTTTCTAATAACACCTAGACTGCCTGACTAAAACTGCAGATCTGCAAGGGAAGTTAAATCAAAAAAGAAAAAGGCAGTTATTACCCTACTTGACCCTATAAATGTAGAAGTAGTATGGATGGAGCACCACAGGACCACTTTAGGAGCACCATGCTTAATGGACACTTAGAACTACATTAAGAGCCTCATGCCAGTGGGGAGCAAGGTGATCCCAGGGAGATTCTAATTTGGGTTGTAAATAGCCTTAGATGCCCGAGATGAGGTTGGAGAGGTGGTTGAGGGTCAGATCTGCAGGAACTTAAAAAGCATGGCAGGAAGAGTAGATGTTATGCATGGCATAGTGGGAAGGCACTGCAAGGTTTTAAGCAGGAAAGTGGTATTACTCAATTCACATGTTATGATTCACTCTGGCTCCTATGTGGAGAATGGATTGGAAGGGAGTAAGAGTGGACAAGAAAGACATTGCAGCAAGAGATGATGTCAGCTTGAACTGGGAAGATTACACTGGAGATACAAATGCATGGATTTGAGATTCTTTTGGAGTTCAACTCCATAGGTCTTTTGCTAGATTAAATGTGGATGCAGCAATGGTGGCGAGGAAACCCAACATGTTGGAGTGATTCCAAGGTTACTAATTGGAGCAACCGAGTAGATAGGAGTGTCAATTCTATGATGGGGGGAAATGGAGAAGAAGCAGGTTAGGGTTGGGGTAGGGGATCAAGAGCTACATTTTGGAAGAAACTGTTAAGTTGGAGATGCCTGTGAGCATCCAGGTGGAGACAGCAAATAAGCCATTGGATATACAAGTCAAGGTCTGGACTGGAGCTTTATTTTTCAGGTTCTTTGATTTTGGCTTGAGCTCAGGTAAACTCCAAATTGGAGGAAGGAAGGAATTAACATTTACTGAGCACCTACTGTATGCCAAACACCCATTGTGTTACAAATGTTTCTGTCATAAGGTTTATACACATTTTCCAACACCTTCTTTTTCCATGCCTGCCCAAGCACCCTCCCAGTTCAGCCGGAGTGGGACCCAGCTAGAGACTACCTAGGATATGCTCATTGCAGACACTCAGACAAACTATGCAATCAATTTCTCCCTCCCAGGTTCCTAATGAGTCCCTGGAGGGTTACTTACACCTGCATCTGTGTTCAAAACTCCAGAGACCTGAAGGTAAGGGTTAGCTCCTGGGACACTGAAGCTGAAAACTCTAGACCCAAATAATAGTTATGACTCCAACCTTGGTTTGCTAAATCTCTTTGGACCCAACATGCCTTGTTTCTTTGTCTGAATTTTAGTATCTGCCTCCTTCATAAAAATGCTTTGAGAATTGAGTTGAGCTTCTGAGTCACCTGGAGAGCATCTTGAATAATGCAGATTCCTGGGCCCTGCCATCAGAGATTACAATTTATGTGGTCTGGGTGTGGCTTGGTCTACATCACAGGTGACTCTGATACTGGTCCAGAGTGGTACCTGGACCAGAAACGCTAACTTGCAGAGTGATGAGCTGCCACTTTTCCCCAGATATCTGCCTCAGTGATATCTCTACCACTTAGATCACTATGGCACTTTTAAAATAAGGCACCAAATTCTTTGACTCTCCTCCCATCAAGAGGTAGGTTCTATGTCTCCTGCCCTTGAACTTGCTGGTTCTCTCAGAATCTGGCCTCCACAACATAAGAAGCCTAAGCCACATGGAGAGGTCACATCAACAGTCCCACTTGACCTCAGTCTTTGAGTCATCTCAGCCATGGAACTAGAGATACCAGTGAAGGAGTCTGCAGATATCCCAGCCTCTGGCCATTGAGTCACTCCAGATTTCAGTTCTTCCCAGCGGAGCCTCAGACATCACAGAACAGAGACCATCGATCCCCACCAATCCCTGTTCAAATTCATGATCCACAAAACCTATGCTCATAATGAAAAGATCACTGTTTTATGCTACTTAGTTTCATCATGCAGTAACTGGAATGGGTTACTAAAGTGTTTTCTCAAGAAATACCTATTAAAATGCAAACACATTACTTGCAAGGATAAACTCTCTCAAATGAGCATACACAACGTTGTATCTAGCAGACAACAGAGCAGGGGAAATGAGCCCAGAGATGTTCTCTTGTTTCACTGATAAGAAATCACTGGGCCCAGCGTGGTGGCTCACGCCTGTAATCCTAGCACTCTGGGAGGCCGAGGCAGGCGGATCATTTGAGCTTAGGAGTTCAAAACCAGCCTGAGCAAGAGCGAGACTCCGTCTCTACTAAAAATAGAAAGAAATTAATCGGACAACTAAAAATATATAGAAAAAATTAGCCTGGTGGCGCATGCCTGTAGTCCCAGCTACTCGGGAGGCTGAGGCAGAAGGATTACTTGAGCCCAGGAGTTTGAGGTTGCTGTGAGCTAGGCTGACGCCATGGCACTCACTCTAGCCTGGGCAAAAGAGTGAGACTCTGTCTCAAAAAAAAAAAAAAAAAAGAAAGCATCACTGGGTAAAGAAACACGTAAGTTGCTCCCAGAAAACTGGAGACAGAAAGATGGCGGCACCTTGAAGACAGCATGGCTGGAAGAGAGAGAGATGCACCAAAAGGACGGATGAGGCAGGAAAGCAAAACCCAGCTTCATTTCCTCCACAAGTGTGCTTAAGCCTGGCCTGAAAATCCCTCTACTCTCTGATTGCAAAGTTGTTCATTTATTTATGCCAGTTTCCCAAATGTACTTGCCTGATGTTAAAAATCACCTGGGGATCATACAGTAACGAGGGCCAAGGGTAATTCTTGCCACAAGGCAAGTTTGGGAAATGCTGGATTATCGAATTTTTAAACAAAATAGCAAACACTACACCCTTTCCTCACAACAGTCACAGCTCTGCGGTGAGAATGGAGTTAATACATGAGCTTCATATTTGTGAAAAACCAGTAGCAAGTTCCGGCAGCCTTGAACCTTGAGAATGCAAATCCCAACTAAGTCCGATTACAGTGATCTGGGGGAAGGAATTGTAAATATTAGAATTCAAATGCTAATCCAACACTACTAATAATATTAAATACTTTAAGATGCAATTATTAATACCTTCTCTAAGGAATATTTTAATTGATAAGACATAAAATAAGAAGGATGTTAGGTTAAATATCCATGGCCTTATTCGAGCTATTAATGATGTAAGTAAATATGATAGAACCTGTTCTTTCTGGGATCAAGAAAAGAACAGAGAATGTGACACCAAAAGCCTTGAATTAATTCTACTTTTGTAACTAACACTGATGTCTGCATTGTTCCTAGCCTCATCACCATCACCCCTCCACTGTTTTTGGAAGTGATTTGAATCTCATTTCAGATTGTTAATATAAATCCTTGAGTTTTCTTTCCAGGAATACACTTACAGTCTTCTAAAGAAACTGGGGTGGGAGGGCTGTTCTCAGTCATGAATGTGCCATGTAACTGGTCATGATCCTAAGCTCTACCTCACTAGAACATTTTCATGGTACTGGTGGTGATTCATATCAGTGAGCAGTTTATCAGTCCCAAAAGCCTGGTCCCCACAGAGACTGACAGCAATTGAGGCCCCTTTGAGCCCACTCAATTTTATTTCTCTTGCTTCTTGAGACCCTGTAATAGTTATACGGTGGCAAGTTCCAGAGTAAAATTGACATCTTCTCTAATTCTAAGAGTTTGCATGTATTGTGATGAAAAGAATAAAATGTCTGTGGAAATAGTATTTGTACTGGTGGATACTGGAATTCCAAGCAATAAAAACAGGAGTTCCTTATATTATAACAAAGATTTAGAAGCCTAATATCCCTCCTTAGACCAGTGGCTCTGCATAAAGAAGTCAGGTTACAGACTTAATAGTCGAAGGGAGCACATCATCTCCCCGTGCATCTAGGCCTGCTGGACTTTCTGGCCAAGGATTAGAAGACCCTCTAGGTTCACCACCTCTACATTGCTGTGTTCTCTGCCTCCCAGGGATGTGTCTTACACCAGTGTCACTGCGCTGCCCTCCAAAGGCCTGGAGCACCTGAAGGAATTGATAGCAAGGAACACTTGGACTCTTAAGAAACTTCCACTTTCCATGAGTTTCCTTCACCTCACACGGGCTGACCTTTCCTATCCAAGCCACTGCTGTGCTTTTAAGAATCAGAAGAAAATCAGAGGGTAAGTGACTGGGGCCTGGAATAAGTGACCAAAGACGTTGGTGGGAGATGAATTCATTTCTTGGTTTGGGGAAGATGCTTCATGGTTTGAAAAACAGGTGGAGAAGAATTGGAAGCATTCGTAAGAAATGAGAAATCCATGGGGCACAATGAGTCTGTGGGCTCAAAGTGGCTGCAGATGAGAAATAAGGCCAACGTTGTGGATAGCAGTAGGGCAGGGGATGATGTAGGAGACAGGAGAGACAGGCTCAGCCAGATCACGTAGAATCTTGTAGAGGATACACAGACAAGATTTCTGGACTTTAGACTCAACCTGTATCAGAGACTACAACACATATTAGAAGCTACAACCATGAAGACGACTTATGAACAGCACAAACAATTAGTTTACTTGATTGGTTTGGGCCTTGCAAATGTCATAGCTCACTTGTTACATGCCTATGGGCTTTGGAGTCAGCTGGGTTTGAACCCCAGCTCTGCCAGTTTCTAGCTGTGTTATCCCAGCCTAGTTACTTAACCACCCTGAGCCTTTTGAGAACTGAGATCGTAATATTATCATTCATGGGGGTTTTTAGAAGATTAAATGAGAAACTGAACAGACAACACCTGAAATGGAATGACATGGAATGTTATAAGTTCCCAGCTAGTATTAACTATGATATATATGATTTGAATGTCAGGCTGTTTGCAAGGCTGTGAAGGAGGGATGATCTTTTTCTCTGAATCTTGCTTTCACCTACACTTTTACCCTGCATTATTTCCCTCTTCATGTCTTATACAATCTCCTATTCTCCTAACTCCACTTTCATCTATCTCTTATTCAATCCCCCTCAGTTTCTATATAAGGATCTACTGACTTTCTACACTCATATCTGCAGTCAGAAAAAAATCAGGCTCTAGCTGTAGGGGCAGAAGCAAACAGGAGAGTTGAACAGCTGTGCAAAGAAGGTCAACATGGGCATAATAACTGCAGAAACCCAGAAGTGGGGTAGGTGATGGTGACAGCGGACTCTGTACTGTCGCCGTGTGGCACTGAGAAGGAAAGGACCAGGGCTGGGTGGGACCTCAAGTGGACCTCAGGGGTAGGGTCTAGATTTCTCCTTAGCCTCCAAACAGGTTAGAACAGCCAGTCTACTGGGCATTTTAACCAGAGGGATGAATCAAAATCTGCTCAGCAGCTGAAGCAAGTTAAAGAATCCCTTTTGTTGTGGGGCTGGTGAGCTAGGAAAAAAATAAATCTTATTTCCATGAGCACGCCTGCATGGTAGTATCTGTTTATTCATGTGTTCAAAAGTATTTTATGAGCACCTACCATGTGCCTGGTGCTGTCCGATCCATAGCAGTGAGTAGGACAGACAAGAGCCCCCTCTTGCATTTTGTTTACAGACTAGTGGAGGAAGTCAGAACATAGACAGGCCAAAGAATAAGAAAATATCAGACAGTGCTATGAAGGAAATAAACACAAGAGTGGGAAAATGTATTTAAGGAGATCAGGGAAGTCTCCTCTGAGGAAAAGGCATTTGACTTTAAAACTCAGTAATGAGTAGAGGCAGCCATAAGTCTTTCAGGCGGAGGAACCTGAGTTCTAGAGCTCTGAATAGGAATAATAATAATAATAATACCACTAACCAACACATATATGGCACTCACAAAGCTCCAGGTACGGTTCTAAGAGCCTTAAAAAGATAAACTCATCTAATCCTTTAACAACCCTGTATGAAATAGATATTCTCACTATCCCATTTTACAAATGAACTAATTGAGTTTCATGGGACCTGCCCAAGGTGAAATAGCTAGTAAATAGAGCCAGGTTCTAACCAAGGTAACTGTCTCCAGCATTCATGCTTTTTTTATCACTGTTGTTCTTGAAGTAGATGCAGAAGAGAAATAAGACCAATGTCACCGGAACACACTGGGGGATGGAGGTAATAGAAAATGATGTAGGAGAGGCAGGCCTGACCAGATCCTGTAGAATCTTGTGGAATCACGTATATCACAGTAATCGTTTGCATATTTTTCTAAGTGTTGTGGCAACCATTCACGGGTTGTAAGCAAGCAGTGACTCATTTCTGTTGCCTTGCAGAATCCTTGAGTCCTTGATGTGTAATGGGAGCAGTATCCAGAGCCTGCGTCACAGAAAATCTGTGAATGCCTTGAACGGCCCCTTCTACCAGGAGTATGAAGAGAATCTGGGTGACGGCAGTGTTGGGTACAAGGAAACGTCCAAGTTCCAGGATGCCAGTGAAAACTCTCACTATTATGTCTTCTTTGAAGAACAAGAGGATGAGATCATTGGTTTTGGCCAGGAGCTCAAAAACCCCCAGGAAGAGACCCTACAGGCCTTTGACAGCCATTATGACTACATCGTGTGCGGGGACAATGAAGACATGGTGTGTACCCCCAAGTCAGATGAGTTCAACCCCTGCGAAGACATAATGGGCTACAAGTTTCTGAGAATTGTGGTGTGGTTTGTTAGTCTGCTGGCTCTCCTGGGCAATGTCTTTGTCATGTTTATCCTCCTCACCAGCCACTACAAACTGACCGTCCCACGCTTCCTCATGTGCAACTTGGCCTTTGCAGATTTCTGCATGGGTATATACCTGCTTCTCATCGCCTCCGTAGACCTGTACACTCACTCTGAATACTACAACCACGCCATTGACTGGCAGACAGGTCCTGGGTGCAACACGGCTGGTTTCTTCACCGTCTTTGCCAGTGAGTTGTCCGTGTACACACTAACAGTCATCACCCTGGAGCGCTGGTATGCTATCACCTTTGCTATGCGCCTGGACAGGAAGATCCGCCTCAGACACGCATATGCCGTCATGAGTGGGGGCTGGGTCAGCTGCTTCCTTCTTGCCCTGCTCCCTTTGGTAGGAATAAGTAGCTATGCCAAGGTCAGCATCTGCCTGCCCATGGACACTGAGACCCCTCTTGCTCTGGCATATATTGTTTTTGTTCTGTTGCTCAACATAGTGGCCTTCGTCATTGTCTGCTCCTGCTATGTGAAGATCTACATCACGGTCCGAAATCCCCAGTACAACCCAGGAGAAAAAGATACCAAAATTGCCAAGAGGATGGCTGTGCTGATCTTTACAGACTTCATGTGCATGGCCCCGATCTCGTTCTTCACTCTATCAGCACTGATGAACAAGCCTCTCATCACCGTTTCCAACTCCAAAATCTTGCTGGTTCTCTTCTATCCACTTAACTCCTGTGCCAATCCATTTCTCTATGCTATTTTCACCAAGGCCTTCCAGAGAGACGTGTTCATCCTACTCAGCAAGTTTGGCATCTGTAAACGACAGGCTCAGGCATACCGGGGCCAGAGAGTTTCTCCAAAGAACAGCACTGGTATTCAGGTTCAAAAGGTCACCCAGAACATGAGGCAAAGTCTCCCCAACATGCAAGATGTCTATGAACTGCTTGAAAACTCCCATCTAACTCCAAATAAGCAGGGCCAAATCTCAGAAGGGTATAAGCAAACAGTTTTGTAAGTTGACCCTACACTACTCGCAATGGTAGGACTTATGAAAGACTAGTTTCTTGAACACACATTCCAATCCCATGACACACTCAATACACAACTGCCCTAATCCTTGTGCTGGTGATGTTCCATGGGGCAAGAATTTATCTCTGGAGAGTGACTAGCATTACCTTAATCATTGCCTCCAAGAAGAAAGAGAGGCTACCAGCATATCTGTATCCCAGATGATATCAAAAGAATCTATACTTCCTGGAAGACTTGCTCAATGCTAAGTCCAGAGATGACATTGTGTAAGATCTTCAGCAACTATTAATGTCAACTGAACTGTGTCAACATGGAGCTTCTCACTTTTATAGAGCATTTCGTACTAAAGATTCAGCAAATGGCAAATGCTATTAATTTGGTTAGTGACCACAAGGTAAAATCAGCCCCTCAGCCCTGTGTTGGCTCAGTTCAGCTAGATGTTCCCTAATGCAACCAAAGAGAGTTTGAGGTCCTCAAAACTACAAAGCCAGATACAGCTAGATGTCACACAAGGAGCGGCTATTATGAGACATGAAGGAGGGGAAAGGCTTAGCTCTGAGTTGCTTTTTTTGGACTCTGAAACTATTAATCATCTCTTCACAAGAATCTACCTGATGTGACCCAGCTCTTACATACCGCCTAGAAAAACTGGCAAGATTTCCCCTTATGTGGCCTAGCAAACCTAAAATTGCTCTTTTGGGCCAGCCTCATAGCATAAAAAATGTGGACTCTAAATATTTCTAAGTAGCAATACGTGGGAATCATGGGCAGAGAACACTCTGTTGATTAATAAAACAGGCTGGACATCAGTTAACTGTGGGACTTTGGGCAAATCACTGGGTCTCAGAAGTCTACAGAAATGAAAGAGTTCAATGATGTCTTCCGATTTTAAAACTCTAGGTATATCCCTTTCCCTCAAAATGTGTATTTCTATGACAAAGAGAAAGAAGAGTACTAAGTAAGTAGAATCTATTTTTCCTGTTTTGTAGGGCTGCTGTCTCCTTCTCTTTGGAGCATAGACATAGGACCCAGAAAATTTTTCCTTTGTTTCATTTTTGGTTCTGATGTCTGAACCAAAAAATTCTATTCGGTGACTATATTGTGTTGGATGTGAATCACTCACCTAATTATTATATCTACCCTGCTAAAATAATCAGGCCAAAACCAAATTAGTGTTTATACAATAAATGATAGTTGTGCAAATTCTGGTTCATATTTCACTATGAAGAGTCACTTCAAAACACTGGTCTTCAGGGATTGGTTTCTTTGCTTAGCCATTTCCAGCCCACAATACGATACCAAACCTGTCAAAAGAGGATTTTTTTTTTCTTCTGAAGCTGCCAGCTCCTTTCAATCCTATTGATCACTGGACATAAAACCTCTCTTCCCCAACAGGACATCCTTACTTGAAACAGTCAGGATCTTTATCGACAGATGTACTCTGCAGGTTACCTGTCACAATAACTAGCCCCTTAATTTCCCGCTAGAAAAGAGTCCCCAAGCAGAGATGACGTTTGCTTCTCAGTGTCCATGAACCACACCATGAAATAAAGGTCTTTGTTGTTTTAAGTCTGTGGAGGGGGGGTTTATGGGCCCCACAGAGATGGTTCCCACCTGATTCAGCTGGAATCTCTCCACAGCTGTATCCATTCTTGATTATCACTGAAGCTCGCACATCTTAATAGAGATATTACAAACTCTTAAAATCATGACTTACCTAGGAGTTCACTTGTGACTAATGAAATGAAACAAATGTGTTACCTTTTAGCATGTGTTTCTCTCCTGTAACATTTTGAAATATCATGTCTTGTTAAGCAATGTGTTTTATCTTGAATAGCTGCTAATGCTTTGAAAACAGAGTCCTACAAAAGTGACTTCGACTGAATTGTTACTAAAATTTGCATCACAACATGAAATAAATTTTCCTCCTTTGAAATGACTGTGCTGACTTACTGTTGTAATTTGTGAGTTTCTTTTGGGGTTACCATTAGGCGTTAAAACTAAAGACAGGAAAAAACGATACATTTGCTAATAAATCTATATTTACAAATTGTTGAATATTAATAACTTAAGTATAACATTGTATCTTGATTATAAATGGCCTTCATGTGAAAAAAACTTACTCCTGGTGAGTTGAATTTTAATTCATTGGCAGGCACTGATGGCTAAGAGAAAAAATAGTAAAACAGACTATATCAAGCCAATGATTAGTACTGACACTAAGAATTTAAATAGTGCTCTAGTGAAGATAATAAATCTATAAGTCCTGTTCAGAGTTCACTTTATCTGGCATCTTTCAATTATCTGAAGATAAACCCAAATCGGTAAAGACAAAGAGCCACAGGCTAATCACAATGGATATCACAAAATTCATGCCCTAAAGCTCATACATGCTGCTCAAGGAGTGTCTCTCAAAACACCCTCAAAGGGCCGGGCGCGGTGGCTCACGCCTGTAATCCTAGCACTCTGGGAGGCCAAGGCGGGAGGATCATTTGAGCTCAGGAGTTCCAAATCAGCCTGAGCAAGAGCAAGACCCCGTCTCTACTAAAAATAGAAAGAAATTGGTCAAACAACTAAAAATAGAAAAAATTAGCCGGGCATGGTGGCGCATGCCTGTAGTCCCAGCTACTTGAGAGGCTGAAGCAGGAGGATCGCTTGAGCCCAGGAGTTTGAGGTTGCTGTGAGCTAGGATGAGGCCATGGCACTCACTCTAGCCCGAGCAACAGAGCAAGAAAAAAAAAAAAAAAAAAACACCCTCAAAGTTTATTGCCTCTTGCTTTGTGGACGGTCTACTGTATCACAGAAGCAGCCAATGAGAAGAGGAGAATATCTTACAGGACAGCCCCATGAGAGTGGCAATAAGGTAAAAGTGAGGGCAGAAAGAAGAAAACTTATAATTACAACAATTAAAACAACAACGATAACAACAGTTTGAGACCAAATTCTCCTACCTGCTTGAAGTCTTGGGGGAAAATCGTATTACAACACAGTGGAGTGATTCTCATGCATTCTAAATACCTAAGGAACAAGAAAAACATGTTTATAGCAATGCCTTCAGTTTTAAAAGCTATAAAAGTTCTACATCCAAGTGGTGGACTGAGTTCCCGCATCTACCAAGCTTTCTCTTTCAAATTCCACTGAAATGACAATTTAAAATGAGATCAAGCCAAAACTGCATGGCAAAGAACACAGACTTTGGTGGCTTTCTGAAAAATGGGAAATCTAGAGCCTTTAGTTGACGGGTAACCCAGAGTGGAGGCGGCTGCCGCCTAGAACATACTCACAGGATAAAGCTGCTTCTGTGGAAGGATGGGTTCTTCCTGCAGAGTCCCAGAGAGCCCCTCAAGCCTGGAGCTCACAGGACTGAGGGCTAATTAGGGTATTTAATTGAAAATCTGTACCAGTTGGCCCCTCTCATGCCCCTCTCATTTCATTAAGCTAAAACAACTGACACATTCAGTGTTTGCCTCAGGCTGAAATCAGGATCTCAAAGAAAGTGAATGAAGAAATGTAAAAAGGGACCCCAGCCCACACGCCCACTTCCTGCCTGCAACATAAGTGAAGCCTAATGGTTGACACAGAGGCGTTACTATCAGCCCCCACCCCAAGTCAGGGAGAGGCGTCTTGGGGGAAAAGACCTATATCATCTGCTGACATATACCATCCTCGCCCTTCATTCAGAAATATAAATGAGCCACGAGAATTGCAAGACATTTGAGGCAAATGAACTGCACATCAATAGCCAAAAGACCAAAATGAACAAAAAGAACATTTCCCTAGAGAAAACAGATAATTCAGAAACAGAGTATTATTTTTTTAATTCCAATTAATAACATTAGAGAAATTTGAGAAAATATTGGATCTCCAAACAATAGCAAGCTACTATTTTTTTTTTTAAGTGGTAATCAAAAATTAGAAGGAGTTTTGGCAAATTTAAAATGAAATTGCCAAAGCAAGAGCTTTAACAGAAAGAGTGGAAGTCAAAGTAGAGGAAATATCCTAGAATGTTGAACAAATAAAGATGTGAAATATGAGACAAAAGTTGAAAGATATAGAAGATCAGTTACCAAGGCCAGTATCTGTCCAAGAGGAGTTCTAGAGAAAACATAGAAGACATAAATAATCAAGGAAACAGAAGGAGAAAATTTTCCTAAGCCGATAAAGATTGATAGTGTCCACTTAGTGCTAAGGGGGATGAGTGAAAAAGACTCACAAGTAGAACAGCATTTATAAAACATCAGAACACCATAAGTAAAGGGAAGATCTAAAATGCATGGGAGTGAATCAAAAGAGAAACATCAGGCATTGGAAAAGATTAGCAATCAGACTGGCCGTTAAGTTCTCGTTAACAACGCTGTATACCAAAAGACAATGAAACAACACATTCAATGCCTTCGGAAAAAAAATATTTTAAATCTAGAATCCTAAATGCAGCCAAATTATCGTCCAAGCATGAAGGCAAAATAATGACATGTTTCTATAATCAAGTATTCAGAAAGTTTACTTATGTCAGACAAATTATCCAAAACTTGGAAATAAGCAAAAAGGTAACTGGATATTCTTTCGGGGCAGTGCTGGATTTGACTTCCTAATGTCTGGGCTATTTTACAGCTCTGTAAGGACAGAAGTTAACTTGTACATTTTTGTGTGATAAAGATTGAAATAGCGTCCTCACTGTTTATAGCCCCACTGAACATTAACCAGTTTTGTATCAACCTCAGCAGTCTTATCCTAACACTTCACCTATCCTAAACCATCATTCTACTCTCTACGCCCATGAATTTAAATTTTTGAGATCCACATGTAAGTGAGATCGTGAGGTATTTGTCTTTCTGTGCCTGGCTTATTTCACTTAGTGTAATGTCTTCCAGATTCATCCATTATGTCCCAAATGACAGAATTTTGTCCTTTTTTAAGCCATTGTGCAAAGATGAAAGTAAGTGTTGACAAGGCTGTGGAGAAAAGGGAACCTTTGTATGCTGTTGGTGGGAATGTAAATTAGTACAGCCAGTATGGAAAATCGTATGGAGGTTCCTCAAAAAAACTAAAAATAAAACTAACTTCTGACCCAGGAATCCCACTT